AGTGATTGATGTGAATCTCAATAATATTGTTAGTTGTTGATGTGAACCTCAATAATATTGTTGGGGATTGATGTGAATCTCAATAATATTGTTGGGATTGATGTGAACTTCAATAATATTGTTAGTGATTGATGTGAACCTCAATAATATTGTTAGTGATTGATGTGAACCTCAATAATATTGTTAGTGACTGATGTGAATCTCAATAATATTGTTAGTTGTTGATGTGAATCTCAATAATATTGTTGGGGATTGATGTGAATCTCAATAATATTGTTGGGATTGATGTGAACTTCAATAATACTGTTAGTGAACCTATAAACCTATAACATCTTATCAATACACAATACTTTGATTTTTTATATAAAACCTAATCTAATTATTCGCCAATACGGACAAAAACAGAGATTGCAAACCGAGTGATTCTGGTACTTTTTACGCATTAGACCTCATAACTAACCACACTCTAAGACAATCGTTGTAAAACAATGACACAGTATTACTAAATAGCATGGAATATTGTACCCCTCCATCTGCAACTTTTTAACTTGTATTTCACACAATTAAAAAAAATATTGCAGCTAAGTAAATTAAATTAAATATACCGGAAATGTTGAAGGAAATTCAAGGCTAACAACAGAATACTGTGATAGGTATATTTGATGGTTAAAACCTTTCACTTAGGTAACCGGGATTCGGTCGTTTCCACGCTAGGCTGACAAAAGACACACACAAGCTTCGTTCATGTTCCCAAAACGATTCTCTGCCAAGTCCCTGGTTTTTCACCCGAGATAGCATTAAATCCATCTTTATTTCTTGTCACCCCTTAACCAATTACAATCAGTATAAGAGACTCCAAGGCCTTCCTTCAAACAAACAACCAATCACATGAAAGTTTTACACATCATAATCAATTAATTACTCGTCAAGCTGTCTAGAGAAAACATTTCTATACATTGTCAACACTAACTAATATTGATGGGGTAATAATCTCGCACTAACATTCCACCAAGATACTACCTTTTTTAAACTCGCAAACAACATTGGTTTAGAATTACAGCTACTGTCTTGTATCTTAAAAACTGCAGAGTCATAAGATGTTTTTGGTTGATTTCGACCAGCTCGCCATCTGGTCTTGTCATTAACCTTTATCAGTATATGTCATGACAACCACTGTCAAACTGACTGAAATATAAATCATGAT